CTACTTGTGAGCTGTCCTCTGGCCTCCATATTCATGCATGTATGCCTGAATGTGCACATGCACACATACATGCATCCATGTGAACACATGTGCATGCACATGCACGCATATTAAAAAAAATTTTTATTTATTATTTTTATTTTATGTGTATGTGTGTATTGCTTGCGTGTAGGTAAGTGCACCCGTGTCGTGCAGTGCCCGAGGAAGTTAGAAGAGGTTGTTGGGGATCCCCTGGGACTGGAGTTACGGACAGTTGTTAGCTGCCATGTGGGTGCTGGGATTCAAACCTGGGTCTTCTACAAGAACAACCAGTTTTTTTTTTTTTCTCGTTTTTGAGGCAGGGTCTCCCTGTAGCCCCAGCTGTCCTGAAACTCACTATGTAGACCAGGCTGGCCTTGAACTCACAGAGATCCGCCTGCCTCTGCCTCCTGAGTGCTGGGACTACACACCTGGCTATGAACAGCCAGTATTCTTAACTGCTGAGCTGTCAATCCAGCCCCAACATATTTTTTTTATACTCAGTATAAGTGTGTGTTGGAAACAGATATGGGTAAGTTGACAACTGAAAATTTTTAAATTTTTTTATTATTTTTATTTTGTGTGCATGAGTGTATTGCCTGCATGTATGCAAATAGTCAACTGAAAAATTTAAAAGAAGCTGTATTGCTTTAAGTGAAGAATGTTTTCAGCCCTCAGGTAGAGTCATTTCCGGGACCTGTGATAAGACTGAGCTAGAAATGATTGCTCCTCAGTCATTAGCACTGGGCTGTAGGGACACCTTCAGATCAGCATGGTAAGTGACTTTGACAGTGTTGATTTGGGATGGTGGCAAACTTTGTAGATCATATTTAGGCTTTCTCCTCCACTCTAAATTCTTAATACAAGAGAAGACTCTTGTTTCTTTCAGTATCCATGCATATGAATTAAAAGCAGATTTGCAGAGTGTGTAATCCTTTGTGGGTTTTCTTCTGAACCAAGGCAAAGCTTGGTTCATTTTTCAATCTTTCATTTCCTTTAAGTGAAATACCAGAAGGAGAATTTTTCCTTCCTTAAGTTTTTACAGTTGGCTTTGAACTTTCTGTAGAAGATTGTTGCTTTGCTTTTATTATGCTTTTGGAATTTCTGGCGACTTCAGACCCAAGCTATTATTGCTAAGATCATAAATGCACAGCATAGTAAAGGGCACAGGCAATGTCTTCATCCTCTCTGTAGTTCTGTATAATAATGAGAATAGTTGCTTCTAGCAATTCTATTTCAAGACCATCTTTAAGAGACCCACTCTCCCTTTAATTTCTTCTGTGTAAATGACAGTGATTTTCAATATCTTAGAATTTTTAGTTCTTCAATGGAAGCAACCTTTCAAACTGCTTTTCCTTTTTTTTTTTTTTTTGGTCTTGCTCCATGGCACTCTCTCCCCAGCATTAACTGGTTTTAAGAATCATGCCTTCCAACATGAAAGATACTTGTGGCAATGGGACATTCTATATTCTGACTATATGAATGTCAGCATTCTGGGTGTAACATTATCTTGCAAGATACTTCCCTTGAGAGCAAACTAGGAAAGGGTACAAGAGGTCTTTTGTGTTGTTTCTTAGAATTGCATATAATTCTACAGCTATCTTAATAATAAAGCTTAATTAAAAATTATACTTTTCCAGTAACTCAAATACAGCTTTGTAATAACATTTATTAGTGTGCTGTGACTTATTGATGCTGACATTGAGTGGACAGTTTACAATCTTACACTATTTCGTAGCAGGACTAAGATCATAGCAGAGAGTTTGGAAAGGAAGCAGAGACCAGGAGAGAATAAGGTCAAGCCAGTCTTCTGTTGCCTTGGATGCAGTTATGTTCTATGGCCAGGAACAGAGCTTGTTGGGTCAAGTTATTCCTGTTGAGTTGAGAAAGACGATATTACTTATGTGACTTCTGAGCACATGAAAGACAGACTTTTATTTTTTGTTTGTGATTAATTTTACTGTGAGCAACTATGCATCTCAGAGCTGCAGATGTGGATTAAGAGGTTTTAAGGAACAGAAACCATGAACACCCTCTCCCCTTTGGATTTTTAACTTAACCTTAGAGAAGAAAGCTCTGATTCGATTATAGTAGTTAATCTATTTACAGCCTTTAAAGTCCAACAGGAGTAGGGAGGAATGAAACTACACTTTGCAGATAAGGATTTCTGAAGCCTGTTCTTAATGGAATAAACTGTTTTGATTTTCACATTCCAAGCAGGGGAAAGGATATTCGCTGGTTCTAAGTAAAGTGCTTTTGAAGCTAAGTTTGCAGTCATGGTCACACAGTCTGAAAGTTGCACAAAGAAGAAACAATGTGGAAGTTCTAAGTATTAAAATTGAGATTCTCATGAAGTGAAGAAGCCTATATTATGATTTGTCAGTCAAGTCAAAGTGCAAGAGTTTGTGCTGCTGAGCATGACAGAGTCCAAGTATGATTGTGGGGTGTGACAGGTCAGAGATTTTGACCTCTCTCCCTGCCTTCCTGCTTACAGAGGAGTGGCTTGTGGATACCGCAGGTCAGTGACGGGCGGGAGGCAGGAGGTCTGTCTGCACTTCAGTCTCGGATTTTGAGACAGTGCATTTATGGATAAGTGTAGGTTGCCCCCTCGGCTTACAGGACCACACAGGTTGAACGACCCTGAGAATATAGTAGACAGGGTAGTTCAACACAGATGTGGTCCAGGACGACTAGCAATCAAAATACAGTCACTTAAAATCAGAGCCTGCTATCATCACAGATTTCCATCATTTAGCTTTGTTTTTCTCTCTCTTAAAAGGCAGATAATGATGCCTTTCAGCTACTTAAAAAGTTGTTTCTCTTAAAGAGAAACAGTGAGTGGTGATTTTAAAGTAGGATGAAGGGCAGAAGCTGATGAGGGCAGAAGAAAATAGTTAAGTTTACATAAGAAAAAAGAACCCACTATCTAGAAATAACTAGAGTTGCTATATCATGTATTTTATTTATTATCTATTTGTCTGTTTATTTATTCATTTTCATGTGTGAATGTGGGTGTGTGGTATGCATGTGTGCACACATGGTTTTGCATGCGTATGAGGACACATGGGGGTGCTTGTATATGTGTGCATGTGCATGAAACTCTAGTCCCAGACCTGTCATGTCAAGAGCTATAGATAATTTTTCCTGTGCCCTTAAAAGTGTTCAACAGAGGGCCTTACTTCCATTCCAGAGTGCTGCACTTCGGTTCTCAGCACCATGTAAGGTTGGCTCACAGCCATCTGTAATTCCAGCTCCAGGGAATCTGATGCCCTCTTCTGACCCCTCTGAGTACCTCCACACAGGTGCACACCCACTCACACATACATAAAAATAATAAAAATTAATCTTTTAAAAAGTATTTGACAAAATACTCTTTATATAATTATGCATATAACAGGCTTTTCTTTTTCTTAAAAAATTTTAATTACATTTATGTTATTTGCTGTGTGTGGAGGGATGGGGGTGTGCCTGTGCCATAGGATGGGTATGGAGGTCAGGTGACAACTTGAAAGGGCTTCTGGTTCTCTCCTTCCATCATGTGGATCCAGGGGCTAAATTCTGTTTGTTAGCCTTGACAACAAGCACCTTTATCTGCTGAATCATCTTACCAGCCCCCTATAATTCTTACATATATTGACTATTTTGTTTTGGAATACAAGTAAAATTTACCAGTACTTCTAAGCTTAGAATATTCTTCCTTATGTAGGGCACATATGAACTGTAAATATAAAATTTCAAGGTCTGAAAAAATGACATCATTAATTTGTCTGCAATGAATTCTAATATCTGAGAAGGCTGATTGATTTGGAATTTATTCTTTTCCAATAACTTTTTTTTTTCTGGGTGAGTTGGACTGATGTAAAGACCCACTTACTCTGCGCACATTTTGTCCTTATTACATTTATATATAGGTTATATAAGACTAAATCTATAGAGTCTTAACTCAGTTCTTAGACCAATGGGCACTAGATGTTTCATTTATGTGGTTGAAAACAAAACTTAGGACAGTTTTATTTGCTGCTGCTGCTGTTGTTGTTGTTGTTGTTGTTGTTGTTGTTGTTCTCCTTCTTCTTCTTCTTCTTCTTCTTCTTCTTCTTCTTCTTCTTCTTCTTCCTTATGAGAGAGAGAGACAGGGAGAGACAGAGAGACAGAGAGAGATATATATATAGAGAGATATAGAGAGAGGACTATAAAGGCGTGTGCCTACCATGACCTGTAAAGGAGGTTCAGAGGACAAATCTGTAAGTTCTCTCCTTCCACATTTACCCAGGTTCCAAGGACTGAACTCAGGTGGTCAGGTGTTCAGGGCAAGTTTTTACTTGCTGGTTCACCTTTCTGGTTCAAATATCCCTTTTCACAGTTTTAGTCATTGGTTCAGTTTTCCATGGAACTTAGCTGCTCCTTCGTATTCATCTTTTGTGGAACACATTTTGTGGATTGGTTCTCACCTCCAACTGAATTTGTTTTCCAGGGATGCAACTCAGGTCGTCAGGCATGTGTGGTCAGCAAGTGCCTTTACCTGCTGAGCTGTCTAGCTGGCCCTTTTCATGAAACACTTCTGAGTATATAAACTTCCCCTGTGAGCTTAATTTCAGTTAGTTTGGCCTTTGTCATTTGTTTGTTTGTTTTTTTAGGCAGGGACTCACTATGTACCTCTGGTTGACCTGGAACTTGCTATGTAGACCAGGCTTGGCTTGGACTCAAAGAACCTGTCTCTGCCTCCCAAATGCTGGGATTAAAGGCGAGCGCCACCATGCTCAGCAGCCCCTGTCATTTGTAATCAGAAGTGTTTATGTTGTCTGAGCTCCCGTTCTGCTCTAACTCACGGTGGCTTATTTCAGAGGCAGTGCCTTTCCATTCACATCGGTCAAGCTGGTGTCCAGATCGGGGATGCAAGTTGGGAACTCTATTGCCTGGAACATGGAATCCAGCCAGATGGCTTCATTCTTGATCGTCAACAGGAGCAGTTGGAAAATGGTGAAATGGAACCTAGAAATGCATCTTTTGATACTTTTTTTCATGAAACAAGAACTGGGAAGTATGTGCCTAGAGCACTTTTCATGGATTTAGAACCAACAGTTATAGGTAAACTAAGTTTGACTTTCTTGTGCACTTTACCAGGTCCAAAATCAAAATACACAAATCAAGAGGGTTGGAGTATGAGATTGCAGTAATCTATACAAACAGGATCATGCGGATCTTTTTGGAATCCAAAGCTTTAGTAATAACGGCAAACACACACACCTAAATGAAAGACTAAGTTAACTTTTTTTTCCTGTGGGGTAAAACTAAGCAAAAGCTGTTAATTTATCTACCCACGTTCCACAACAGAACACCGAATCTTTTCCTGGGTTTGAGAGTCAGTTGTTAGAAGCTCCTGGTAAAGAATCTGAAAATTTATCATTATCTTCTTATAAAGACTATGGTATTTGACAATTATTCCAAAGAGGCAAGATACCAAATAAACATTCAGATTATGCGAGTAACCAATGATATTTAAACTTTTTACATTATTTATTTATTTATTAATTTATTTATTATTTGTGTGTGTGTGTATGTGTGTGTACATATTCACATGTACAGAAGGGACTCCGTTCCACACGGTAGTAGGTATAAAGGTTCTATTGGGAACTGAGGGATCCACTTTGATAGCGAGTCACTCACTTGGTTAGCAAATTGTTGGATGAGTTCTGAGCTGGGCATGCAGGTGGGGCTTTGGTCCCTCTTCTCATGACTGTCTTTGAGATGCTTCAACCTTATCATAGCATGGTGGTCAGGTACCAACAGCAAGGGTCCCAAGGGAACAATGCAGATGTCCATGGCTCTTCTCTCACCCAACCCTGAAAGTCACCTGGTACCGTTTCAGCTGTCCTCAATGAGGCAAGGTAGTTATGAAGACCCACAAGAACAGGGATATGAACCGTACTTCTTGATGCCAGTACAGCAAGGTTCTAGAGACAATATGTGATAGGATTTTTGTGATCATCTTTGGAGAATACAGTTGGTCTATACTAGAAAGTTACAGTCTATCAATACTAGGTTGGAGTTGATTTCCTTATTAGAAAAGAGCTAGAATATATAACAGCTAATGGAAGAAAGTGGATTGATGTCAATGTTCTAAAACAATGAAAAGTTTTATTAAGAGGATGAGGTCAAGACTGGTCAAGGCCAAAGACTCCTATATACAGATTTGTGTTATATTGTTAGATACTACGAAAGAATAAAATTAAGAAACTAATGGGACTGGGGATATAGCTCAGTTTATAGAATGCTTCTGTAACAAAAAACCAGAATTTCTTGTTTTCCTAGATTGAGAAAGGAAGTTTCTTCAATATAAATTTCATTCCTTTACAAATATACTGTGGAAGGTTTTGGGAATAGAGTCCTGTGAGGTTTTTCAAGCAGCTAGCCGTTACACTGAATGCATGCACTGACTACCATGCCCCTTCTGCAGATAGGATCCGTGTGGGGAAGTATCATTCACTCTTCCACCCAGAACAGCTTGTGAATGGAAAAGAGGACGCTTCGAATAACTACGCACGTGGTCACTACTCTGTGGGCTCAGAGATCATCGAGCTTGTGCTGGAGAGAATTCAAAAACTGGCAAGTGGTTCCTTTTCCCCTACAAATGGGCCATGTGTGGGAACCTGTGATCTCCTAACAGCATCACCTGCCACTACCACTATCACCACCCAACCCTCTCACCCTGGGCCTCCTTGGATGCTCACAGCTGGGGAAAGGTCCTGATGTTGGCTTTGTATACCCTGTTAGGAAGGTGATTGAAGCTTTTACATTTATCAGGTGCCTCCCTTCTACCCTTGTTTCTACTAATGGAGGTTTTTTTTTTTTTTGAATTGTTATCAGAGACTTTGAAAGCTCTCTAAAATTTATTGTTTTCTAACAGTCACCATTACTGTGAAGGCAACAAGAGGCACATCTTTTCTGAAGATTATGTACCATATTTATAGTTCTGTAAGGGTCTGAATCTGGAGCTCCTTTGTTAATTACTTGGTTTGGCATAACTGCTAGGCAGCCCAATGCCTTTCACATCATCATGGACACAGTGTGTAGAAGTTAGAGGCACTTTATCTACTGTGGAGGGGACTTTGCTTCAGTATTTTGATCATTTTTTCCCTCTGTTTTACAAAAACCTTAAAGCATATTTAGATACATTAATGGACGACAACAAAGGATAACTGAATATTTATGCTTTTTTAAGTTTAAGAGCAATTTTATTGACTCAAGAATTTCATGCCATGAGTTTTGATTATATTCAGACCTCGTCACCATCTCCAGCCTCACCCTTCCACCCCCACCCCTCCCTGACTTCATGTTTTCTATTAGCATCTTATATAACTTATCTGAGCTGCGTGCCAGAGAACTCATCTCATTAGAGTCAGTGGTCTATAATTCTTACAAGGGGTGTGCAAAAACTAAGGGTCCAGTCCCTTTCCTTTGCACACGGTTTTGGGTCAGGATACACCCAGGTTTCTTGGAACGGGATTTTCACTCGTTTTCTGTTTCTCTTACACACTGCTTAGGCATGTCAGGTGGGGATTTCTTTTTCTCAGGAGTTGGAAACACTTTGTTTTCTTCATCAAAGTTAGCTGTTCACAGTCCTTGCATGCAGGTTACTCTTCGGCTGTTTCCTGGCCTCACTCAGCATAGTGACCTCACTGTGGACCAAGGCATTCTCCAATAGATCGATTCCTCTCAGGGTTTTACTGTGGGTAAAAGAAGTTAGGTCCTCACAGCAGGCAGCATTAGCTCACAGGCCTCTAGTCCAAGATTCTCTGAGTGGCAGTTGAAAAGTTTCACAGCTTCACACGACAGCTTTACACCAGCGCCCTCTAGTTCATTTTCCAAAATCTGTAGACATCTCAGATTCCTAATGTTGTTCAGGACTGCAGCCAGGACCTGAAAATCACTGGGTGATGAAACTGGTCAGCTGCCCATGGGTGCCACCATGGTGCATGTGTGGGCAGGCCAGCTCAGCTCTGCCCACTGGTCTGTGTGGGAGGCCAGGCTTAACTCTGCCATCTTCATTTCCTCATTTATTTTCTTCTTACTTGAGTTCAGAATTTTGAGATGAATGTAGAAGCATCAAGAGCCCTAACAAAATGAAGAGGCCCAGAGTCACAGTTTAAGTCCCTGTGCTGAGAACCAGCGTTGCCTCCATTGTTCTGGCCGCACCACCATCTTGGTTCTTCAATTATTTTTTTCTTACTTGCCACATCCTGGGTTCAGAATTTTGAGATCAATATTGAAGTGCCTATGGTCAGGTAAATATTTGTCTTGTGTAATAAGGTTCTTCACATTGACTATTGGACACAATCAGGTTCTTGGGAGCCAGGTGAGCCTCGTTATACTACTTACTGCCTTTGGCTTTAATCTCTATGTTTTGTTTAGATAGAGTGAGCCTCCCTTATTTGAGGTGATTGGGAACAGAAGTACATGGATTTTCCTCCATATTTTGGTATAATTACATATAAGACATTTTGGGGGACCCAAGTCAAAACCCAAAATTCATTTAAGTTTAAATATCCCTTATACACAGACTGGAGGTAATTTTGCACAATATAGTTTAGCAGACCTTTGTGTTGACTGCAACCTGTTATCATGAGATCAGATGTGAAATTTCCCACTAGTGGCGTCATATCAGCACTCAAACAACTTTGGATTATGGAGCGTTTTGGAATTTGGGATTAGGAATGCTTAAGATGTAGTAAAACTCTAAGAGTTTCCCCAGCTCCAGAAGTAACATTCAGGATATTTCAATGAAACTATGCTGTGTACAATGGCACTCCAATCCTTTCTGAATCATCTTTCAAAATGATGTGTGTGAATATTTGTGTGTGTGCATATTCCTATGTGTGCAAGTGTACTTGTGTGCACAGATGCACATGTACGTGTGTGCATGTGGAGACCAGAGACTAGAGGACAGACAACCTTGGTTGTTGTTCCTGAGATACCATCTGCCATGCTTTTTCTTTTGTTGAGACAGGGTCTCTCACTGTCCTGGGATTAGCCAACTAGGCTAAGATGGCTGGTCATCAAACCCCAGGGATCTGTCTGTTTCCACCTCTCCAGTGCTGGGATAGTAAGTCAGTGACACCATGACCAGCTCTCTTTTTATGTTGGGTTCTTGGGATCACACTCATGTCCACATGCTGACAAAGGAAGCACTTTTCTGACTGAGCCATCTCCTCATCCCACTTTCTGGATCTTCTGTTCATTTTGTTTTCTTTTCACAGGCAGAACAGTGCAATGAACTTCAGGGGTTTTTGGTTTTCCGAAGCTTTGGAGGAGGCACCGGATCAGGATTTACATCTCTCCTAATGGAGCAGCTCTCAGCAGAGTATTGCAGGAAGACTAAGTTGGAGTTCTCTGTGTATCCTTCTCCTAGAATCTCCACTGCTGTGGTAGAACCTTACAATGCCGTCCTCACCACTCATTCCACCATAGAGCACTCAGACTGTACCTTCATGGTAGACAATGAGGCCCTCTATAACATCTGTCATCGTAAACTTGGCATTGAATGTCCTACCTATGCCAGCATCAATAGGCTGACAGCGCAAGTGTTATCTTGCCTCACTGCATCCCTCCGCTTTGAAGGGCCCTTGAATGTGGGCCTAATTGAATTCCAGACCAACCTAGTGCCTTATCCAAGAGTACATTTTCCCATCACGACACTGGCCCCCATCATCTCCGCTGACAAAGCCTACCATGAGCACCTCTCAGTGCCTGATATCACTGCGGCTTGTTTTGAGTTCTCCAACCAGTTGGTCAGGTGTGATCCTCGGCTTGGAAAGTACATGGCTTGCTGTCTACTCTATAGAGGAGATGTGGTCCCTAAGGATGTGAATGTAGCAATTGCATCCATGAAGTCGAGGACTTCTGTTCAGTTTGTTGATTGGTGCCCAACTGGTTTCAAGGTGGGCATCAACCACCAGCCGCCCATGGTGATGCCAGGAGGGGATCTGGCTCCAGTTCAGAGGGCTGTGTGCATGCTGAGCAACACCACAGCGATTGTGGAAGCCTGGGCCCGCCTGGACCACAAATTTGACCTCATGTTTGCCAAGAAGGCATTTCTGCACTGGTATATCACAGAAGGCATGGAACAAGGGGAGTTCACGGAGGCCAGGGAAGATCTGGCAGCCCTGGAAAAGGATTATGAGGAAGTGGGCTAAATTTTTGATGTAAAGATGGCTGGCACAAATGAATGTTGAGTGGAATGTCACACTTTCATTCAGAGATTAATGAGGAGGCCTTTTCTAATAAAAGAGAAGAAAAATCAAATCAAGACCCTAAAGAATACATTTAATTAAGTAGATCATTGTCAGCAATGCACTATTTCCTTATGTACATTAGAATTCAGCTCTGCTCTCTGAGAACCTTCTGGGTTAGGAGTCGTTTGAATGAATGGCTCATGTCTAGGTAGAGGTTTTTCAATTTTTTTGTTTTGTCTTTGTTGTTATATCAGAATCAGGCTTTATCTTTGTTCCTCCATCAATTTTTTTTCAAACTGAGAGAGTATGAAATGCTGCTTTTCCTTTTCTGTACCTAAAGTGGAAAACACACATAGTGATTATGAATGCTATTTCTCCTATGTCTACATATTGTACTTTGATTAAATCACAGATATTTTCACAATATTTACACTCTTTTCTCCTAATGTGGGCTTGAAGCCCTTAGTTTTCTTTTCATATAAACAAGAATACGATCGGTAATTTTTTAGAATTTGGGTCTGAGTATCTTGCAGGTAAGAAAGTGACAATTGCTCCTTCAGTTCCCCTGACCTATAGGAGGTTGTACATTTTTGCATGTCTTTCTGTGTGTGTGTATGCATGTTGTGTGTACATGGGTGCACGTGTGTGTGTGTGTCTGTGTGTGTGTGTGTCTGTGTGTGTGTGTGTCTGTGTGTGTGTGTGTCTGTGTGTGTGTGTGTCTGTGTGTGTGTGTGTCTGTGTGTGTGTGTGTGATTGTGTGTATGTGCCAGAGGCCAGAGGCTGATGTCCGGTGCCTTCTGAAATCTTACTCTATTTTATTTGCTGAGGGCGGGCATCTCATTGAGCTCAGAACTCGTTGATTTGGCTAGTCTTGTTAGCCATCTTGCTCTGGGGATCCCTTGTCTTTGGCTCCCAAGCACTAGGACAAGTTGGCCACCAATGCCTACTTGGCATTTATGTGGGTTCCAGGATCTAATCTCTGGTCCTCACACTTCAGCAATAGGCACTTTATCTATTGCACCATCTCCCCAGCCCCAGGAGGTTATATTAGCTACTTTTGTTGTTGCTGTGACAAAGTATTTGACAAAACACAACTAAGGGAGGGAAGGGTTTATTTTGGCTCATGGCTCAAGAGGATACAGTCCATCATGGTGGGGAGGTCTGGCAGTGTGAGCATGAAGCAACGGGCCACAGGGCATCCACTCAGAAGAAAAGAGATGGATGTGGGGGCTCAGCAGGCTTTCCTCCTCAATTTTCTTTTACTCGGTCTGGGCACCCGGCCCACATTTAGGATGGGTCTTCCCTCCTCAGTTAAGCCTTTCTAGAAACATCCTTGCAGACATGCCTAGAGGTGTGTCTCCTACATGATTCTAAATTCTAGTCAAGTTGATGATGAATTTTAATCATAGAGGCATTTTCAATGTGTAGAGTTTGATGAAAATACAGATTTTTGAATGTCACTAAAGAATTGCTAAAGGAGAATCCCGAGGACTGGGAGGGATTTGACACTAGGATTGGATATTTAAAAGGCACTTATATGGAATGAATTCTTAGTGCTAAGTATTCTCATCTCAACAAGAATTTCCTATAGTCAATTTACGGTGAACTAGATACTGGGACGGTGCAGTATTGAGCTTAGATGTTACTCTTGAATTAATGATGGCAGGTCATCAAGAGCCTTGTTCATCTGAGGTGTTTGACTTCACAATCTTGGCTTCCTAGTTATACCTCATGATCTCAACAAAGTATACACTTTTGGCCCAAATAGACACCTGAACATAGCGTATGTTCAAGCCTCAGGTGAAAGCATGAAATTGTACACACTGAGACAAGGCCGTCATCTTCTTGCTTGTACCGTTGGATTCGAGACCTGGCCCTCTGTTTATTGTAAGATGCGCTTTAGTTTTCAGAATAGTTTTAGGTTCACAGAAAACTGAGTAGAAAGTCTGACCCTCCATTTTTTTTCATTCTGTTTTGTTTTCGGCCTTTTTGAAACAGGGTCTCTCTGTAGCCCAAGCTGGTCTGATGCTTGCTGTGTAGACCAGACTGACCTCAGTCTCACAGAGATCTCCCTGCCTCTGCCTCCTGAGTGTTGAGATGAAAGGCATGAACCATCATGGCCAGCTTGACCTTCCATTTTTAGCAGTTTCCTGGAAGATTCTTTATGTTCTTAAATCATTGAACTGTGATGTGTTTTTCAGGAAAGCCACTTAAACAATGTACTATTTTGCATGTTTGCAGCTGAAATCATTGTTCCTTGGAGGCCAGTGGTCACAGTTTGGTGGAAATGGCATCTAGATTCTGTAAAGGCATGGCTTTCCAGCACAGACAGCTATCACTAGGCCAGATCTTTGCTCAGTCCTCAAGACCCCAAGTATCTAGTTGGGTCTCCTTTTGATTGTCCTTGCAAGTCCCTTTAATAAGGATTTTATCTATGCTGGTGTTGGGTTTCCATTGGATCCCAAGCCCTGTTAATTCTGAGAGAGATCACGGTTAGGATTTTAGTGATACACACCTTTAGTCTCAGTACTTGGGAGGCAGAAGCAGATGGATTTCTATGAGATCAAGGCCAACCTGGCCTACATAGTGAGTTCCAGGCCAGATGAGGCTACAGGGAAACCCTGTCTCAAAAAAAAAGAAACAAAAAAATCGAAACAAACTATTGAATAGGATAGATGTGATTTTTAGACTGCAAGCACAAAACGCATTGGTTAATTAAAAAGTGAAACCCTCAAGAGTGTGGAAACTATCATTGATTTATGCAAATGGAGAAATTATTCTTTCACACTTAAATCAAACAGAAAGTATACTGTTAGCCAAGGTTAGATGATGTAAAGTGACACCAAAGGTCAGTAAATAACTCCCTTGGTTTGGAGATTAGGTAAGTGTTAGATAGAGAGATAGATGATTGATACAGATAGATAGATGATAGATAGATGATTGATGTAGATAGATGATAGATAGAATTACTATAGATAGATGATAGATGGATAGATAGATGGATAGATGGATGGATGGATGGATAGATGGATGGATGGATGGATGGATGGATAGATGGATGGATGGATGGATGGATGGATGGATGGATACATAGATGATAGATAGAGACTTTCTTGCAATTATTTGATTGTAACAAGTCAAGGACATGAAAGTCATTTTGGGTGGGTCTTCCACCCTCATGTAACCCAACTTAGAAACTCGCTCATAGATATACCCAGAGATTTGTCTCCTGGGTGAGTTTTAGATCCTGCCAAGTTGACAATATTAAATATCATTGGCATCTTCTCCACCATTCTGCTGACACAATTGTCTTGAACTTAGCAGGTTATGACTTTTTCCAGAGCAATGGCTTTCTCAGCCTCGAGCTATCTCAGCCTCAGAATGGTTATTTCAAGATGCTTTCCCCTGATTCCTGTAGCCTGGAAGTTGCTCTTCTCGTGTCCAGTGTCTCTGCAGACTCTTCCTCCTTTTTATTAATTGAATTTGTTCTTTGACAAGTACATACATGTGTACAATGTATTCTGAAGAGTCTCCTCCCCCAACCCTCTCACCTCCCCCACACCCCTGTCAACACCACCTTTCAATTCCCCTAGAAGCCCTTTCCTTTACTCATTTATTTTTTCTTTTTTAGTGACCCACTGAGTTGAACCAGGGTTTGGAGCTACTCACTGGAGTTTGGTTGGCTCACTGGGGGTAGATAGTTGAAGATAATGACTCCTCCTCTCTCCGAATCTATCAGTAGCCAGTAGTTCAGCAGGGAGAGGTAGTGCCTCATGAGCCCTTCTTCCATCTGTGACTGACAGTTGACAAGCCCAGTTGTCAGCAGGCCCAGCGCAGGTAACTGGAGCTGCTGTGAGTTCACGATTGCCAAGGCTGTAACATGCCCAGAAGATGATGTTCTCCAGTCTCTCTCCCTGTCTGTCAGCATTTACATTCTTTCTTCCCCCCTCATCTTTGATGTCTGTTGAGCTTCAGAGAGAGTGGTATAAAAGTCCTGTTTAGGGCTGAGCATCAGCTGTGCAGACTGCTACACTGTCTTCCCCTAGTGGAGACATTCCTGTTCCTCCTTATCTGCTCTTATTTCACAAACTCAAAGTCTCATCTTCAGTTTCTTTCTTTGCTAGGTCTTTTGCTAAAATTTCTCCTTGCTAGACTTATTCCCCAAGATGCTTTACCTACGCTTTAATTTTTTTCCTAGAAAAATGGGTTATTGTCTTCAAAAGTAATGTGTTCTTTCTTCAGTGATCTCTGTCTTGTTTGTTAATATCTTCCCACTGAAGCAGATTCTAAACAACACTGGTATGTAAAAAAAATGCATGTAAACAACATAGTACATATGTGGAAGTCAGAGGATGACCTACAGAAGTGGCTAGAACCTTTAGCCACCTGAGTCATCTTGCCTGCCTGACACTGTTAAATTTTTTGCTACTTTTCCTGATTTCTTGTTTTCTATAAATAATTAACTTCTACTGATTTTACTTCTGCAATGTTTCCGGAATCTGTCTCCTTCCTTTCTTTGGGTCATCAAATCCTCTTCCCTTAACTGGTTCACTAGTACCCAAATGCTTTTCTATCTTCTGATGTGTCTTCCTACCCGCTGATCCGTGACTGAACATTCTGAAGCACATTTTGCATTATTTTGCTCCCCTACCAAGGCCTAAACATACCCATTGCTTAAACATAAGGTATAAGCTCCTGCACATGGTGGTTAGATCCCGCCCCTACTAGTGCTGAGTAGTACTGACTAGTACTTTCCGTTCTTATCGCTCACTATGGCCTCATGAATTCCATCTGAGACAGTCTCTCCCCACTTCCCAGCATACATCGTTCCTCTGACCAGTGATGTAGCTCCTGAAGCCTTGGGCTTCTACTTTCTTGTGTCTCTTTGAATCACAGAGCAGTCTAGAGCCTTCATTCCGAGCTGTGCTTGAGTGAGAGCTGAGATGCGCTATGGGATTTCT